AACATCTTAAACATTCCCTTAGTAGTTGGTATACAGTTGCCTCGATTCATGCACAGTTGGTATACAGCTGCCTAGAACTGAACGGAATTTGAAGGTATTTTTGAAGGATGAGGACTTATATACGTTTATAATCTCCAAAATTGTAAAGTGTTTACGAGCGCCTAAAGCGCGCCCCTCGTATAAACTTGCGTCTTTCATGAAACATGCGGAGGGTCCCCTACCACCGAGTGACAATAATGCAAAAGATGCTGGGATGTGATCACACACTTGGCCGATTCTTTGTACTTATCGGCTCTTTTATTCATTTGACATATGATAAAGACTCAGCTCTCATTGTATCAAAATCAAAGGTAGATTCCGTAAAAAATTGGTGCCCCCTTTTAACCCCTGAACCCCTTTCGCCTTTTATGAAACGAATAATCCCTTCGCATTCTCTATGATTCGGCAAACCTTTGGCCTTGGGATTTTTATACATTGATGGCTTCTGTAACATAATTTTGTTAGATCTCACTGCAAACGGTGGTTTTACCAAGAATCTATTCACACATCATAATTTGAGGCATGTCAGACACATAATCATTTCATTCTGCTCTTGTTTTGTCATGTTTGCTATTCACTTCAATTTTCTAAATCCAAATTTCCAATGAAAAAGTTCATTAACTAAAAGCAAAGAACTTTGTTCCAAATAAAGTTGTTTATTTAAAGTAACATATAGATCAGGGTTCAGTACAATATTTCTACCTGTTAACTTTTTTACTATGGAAACGACAATAAAAACACGTAACTATCAATTTTGCTAATAACAAAAGATATATCAATTGAGCTGGTCCAAATAACAAAAGACAATTCAGAAACATAGAATTCATTCAAGTTATTAAAGCATCCAGTAAAATTGAAGTACATCAATTTCCCAAGAAATGTAACAGCTTGATTTTAGAAAGATAAACAGTTAACAATCTTATATATTTTCATAATTTAAGAAGTTTCATAATTTATGTGTGTGTCATAAGTTAACATCAATTTCATGACAAAAACACCGTAAAAATTTTCAAGTAAATTACATACAACTATTTTTTAAAAATATATTCTATGTTTTAATCATAACATGAGTATCCGATTGGATGATAAATATAAGTTGTGCATGATAAATTGCAAAATACCAATAATAATGTTAAGTGAATTGTAATATATTGCTAAGCATCAATTCTATCTGGTGATAAGAGCAAAACTTCAAAAGGTGGAGATTGTTGGCATGGAAAAAAGCTTTATCCAAGAAATATTTCTAGCCTGGTCTTTTAAAAAATTTTGGTAATGATATTTTGGACATTCCATTATGCAAATATGGGGTTCAGGGAACAGGAAGGTAAACTTCAATGATCATCATTGATAATTATAAACATTTAAATCAAATTTTCTTTTGAACAAAACCTATAAAGCTGCAGGCAAATTATAGCTCATGAATTCTGAGACTCTCCAATAAAATAACTTCTGATGAGTCTGGTAGCTTTTCTGTTACCAAATTGGATAATTACTGAATCTCTTCCTTGTTTCTTTTCCTACAAACAACTGTTCTAGCATACACAGACATATCCTGAAATTTCCTATTCTAAGAAAGAAAGATGAAACTGGAATATTTTCAAGTAAGAGGGAAACATTTTATAAAATTGTACACCTTTCTCAATCAATAGGCTTCAATGGCAACAATTCTGGGATATTTAGCAAATGAAAATTAAATATTTTAAGTGACCATATTTTGCTAGACTTTTCTGTTCCTGGATAAGACATTTAGCAACCAAATTGTTGAGAAAAGTACAATTAGGTAAATAGAGTTAAAACTTACATTTTTGAGAAATTAATCTATGGTTCAACTGTTGCCTCAACATCCTTTAGCCAATCTGGAAATTTGTTTTTGATAAGCTCAAAATATTGATCTTGGAGAGCTTGCAGTCTGTTTTCAGATATGGAATATGATGCTTCTTTAAGTAGTCTTTGAGCAGCATCTAAATCATCAAAAATCTTTTTGTTTCTTCTCTTTGCAATTTTGATATCCTCTTGCTTGTTTGTTTTCCTTGATAGAAAATATGTTACAAGCAGTTAACAGCATATTTCAGGAGGGTCAACTTTTGTTAAGTTCACTGTCGAATAGTAGAGAATAATACTGTAGAAAAAGAGGTTGTAAAGCCTGATGACTTCAGAAGTAAGATCTAGCCATTTCAAGTTTGTGAAGGCTGCTAAAAGAGAAAAACCTTGGAACATTGAAGTTGTGCTCCACTTATAACTGTGATAATAACTGTTTAAATTGATTTGTACATTTCATTTAGTATTTTGTAGATATGTTGTGGAAATTGAAATATAATGAACCTGAGCTCTGAACATTGAGCCTGACCATTGAGATGAAGATTTCTTATATAGCAGCTGTGTACTCTTTTTTATTTGTTGCAAATAAATTGGTAAAAATGGTTGTTTTTGGAACAATCAGCTTAAATGTCGTGGGTATGTACAAGAGTGCAAAGTATTTTTTGTGCACAGGGAATTATTTTCTGCCACTTATGCTTGGTGGGAACAAATCATGTTCCAAAATAGCAGGTTAAAAGTTGCGAGATTCTATTTTTAAATAGATAGCATTTGTAAGCCTTATAGATAGAGTGTGTCTTAGCAATTCAAGCTTTAATAAATTCAAGCACAATTTTAGGGATTCCATAAACCCAATGTGCCTAACAATGATGGTATCTAGACTACGGAAAACTTTTTGTTGCTCTGCCCTGCCTTTGAAATTGAACGATGAAATCTTCTCGCTAGAGTCTTTGAATTAGTACAATCATTAGGATATAACGATCTTTCAAATGAGGTTTTGATAGAACTTTTATTATATGGTGATAAAGACGTCCCAAATGACCTTAACAAAAATATAATCGAGTTAAAGTTTCCAATACATTCACACAACTGGTAGTTCATACATACTGTTTTAGGTACATAATTTGTTGTGTAAATTTGTTAGCCTCATGGTGAACTGTTTACAGGATACACTCAAAAGTCAATGCTGCAATCGCGCAGATTTATCTAAATTTGCAAAAATGCACGGGCAGAATTTGAGGAAAAATTATTGTGTGGGTAATGTGTTTCCCATGCATACCCAAATTTTGAAGTCTGGGGCCTGTAATGTCTCTAAAAGTAACATAGCTGTAAATGTTTAATAATAGGTTTAGCGGGAGCAGTGTAGTGTCCAGCTATTTAGAATTTAGAATGGCTAGATTTGATTCATAGAGTATATCAGATTTAATAAAAAAAGCATAAGGATTTCAGACATTCTTTTAGAACCAAGTGTCTTTATTATTATCAAAAATGACTTTCAACATTGCTATCGTTATCTGCTTTATTAGTTTTTTATTGACACATATTCGCCAAGACCTACAGCATCAAAAGGCTACCTTCCGTTATTTTCAGGTATGTATGTAATTGTTTTTATTAAAGTATTTTGTCTGATGCAAACTTGTGGCAGCTTAGGACCAGAGCGAAAACTGAAAATTCCACTGACGTAAAACCTACCAACCTTATATCTATTTCCTTTTCCATGTGCTTTTGTATTTGTAGAAGAGCCTGTCTTTTAAGTATAAGCATCTCATGCTCTTGTGATAAATCCGAAAGGATCTTGAGTGTTTTCTCGCTGCTTCGGGTCTCTTTGACCGCCATTACTGAAAACTATCAGTTGAATTTATTGTTTCGATGGTGACGTCTCCTCCGCATGTAAATGAAGGTGACGGATGATGATTATTATTATCTCCTTGGAGTTCTTTTTAAGTAGGTATTCGACCAATAGAATGTAGTTTAATTGTCGATGTAGTTCACAATCACAACAGTTAGATGTTTAAAATGTGAATTTGATAATTTGTGAATTGGTGATGCATCGATGATATGCTGATAAATTTTTCAGGTTATGTCAATTTTTTAAACAAAAAATTCAGTTGCAAACATTTTGGTAAAGCTGTGGAACAGCATCTCAAGGTCTCTCAAGGAAAATGAAGACACAGGGGCGTAGCTAGCGGGGGGGAGGGGATGTATGGGGTGCAACACACCTCCAATACTTCACGAATTCGTCAGTAAATCTTCAGTCTGTCTACAAAATTCTTACTTTGTTGGTAAAACCATCTATCAGTAGGAGAAATAGCACCTAAGTTTTTCTTATGTCTTTGTCTGTAAATTTGTCTATTTATGACCCTCCACCCCCTCCCCCCTAGTCTGGAAGGTCAAGCGATGCCACTGTGTAGACATCTCAAATGCTTTTTAGATAAAATGAAATTTTATGGAAGAGACATTGAGTACATACAAATGTGTAATCATAAATCTATCTATTTTAAAGATGTTTGAAGGTTGACCACATGGCCTGAATAGTGCAAAATAACCGTATTAGTGCAAAATCTGCCAAGATTTTAAAAGTTTATGACCAACAGAAGATTTCAAGCTATTTTGACTCTGTTCAGAGAGTTGAGGACCAAACCAAGACCAAATTACAGTGGTTTGATTTTTGTTGTGTGTAGTTGCGCTGCGATGCTGCTGATTTAACAAGAAAAGAACTGCGGCATCGTGTGTTGAATTACAAAAGGACTTGTCACCTTATTGTTGAATTATCGTCAATGAACCTTCAGAATACTTTGTTTCGTGTTTCTAAGGTGTTTTACGAACGTTGTTTGTTTTGCCTTGATGTTATTCAGTTTTCAAAAGTTGGATGTTAATATTATTAAATTGAGTTCACTGCTTTCCGATGTTTTATTACTGTGATCTCGACTTGAACGCAAACGGATCACTGGAGTATTTAGAAAATTCCTCACAGATACAACAGGAGTTAATTGGCGCAGTCAGTAGGATGCTATCATCATTTTACAAACAACTCACCTAAGAAAATCAACAGGTCGTATTCCACTTTTTTTATACAGCTTCAATAATCCGGTAAGCACGGTATTAGATTTTATTCACGTTCGATTTTAAGCGAAGCTATTATCATCATGTCGGAAACTGCAAAATTAATCGAATTAATGCAATTGCAAATTGCAAATCAGCAAAAACAAATGGAAGCTCAAGCGGCAGCTCATCAAGAACAAATGAAGGCTCTTCTCCATACAATGTCTTTTTCAGAATCAGGAACTGCACGTTTTACTTCTACATTACCTTCAGTACCTGTTTTCGAACCATTTGATTCTACAAGTGAATTGTGGCCTGACTACTACGATAGATTTTTGACATTTTTTGGTGCACATAATGTTAATGACGATAGAAAGGCTCAAATTTTCCTAATTAATCAATCTAAGGATGTTTACCGGTTACTGGGAAATTTGGCAAAACAGCAGAATCCACCCAAGCAAATTAATGATCTTAGCATGGATGAAATTGTAAATTTCATGAAGACGCAATATGACCCCAAACGATTTGTTGTACACGAACGCTTCAAGTTTTGGAGTGATATGCGCAGAAAGCCAGGTGAAACGCTACAGGAGCTTGCGGCACGTATTCGCCAAGATGCTGCCACCTGTGGTTTTGCATCCATCAAAGATCCTCAGGATGAAGCACTCAGATCTCGTTTTATTTGTTCTGTAAACAATGAGGCAGTGCTTAAAGCCCTTTTTAAGGTCAAGGAAGACGAACTGGATTTTGCTAGGGCTATTGAAATTGCCACAGAAACAGAGGATGCAGCTAAAGTGGCTAAAGACACGGTTTATGGGGCTAGACCAAAATCTGTACACAAGGTCGCTCTACGGCCCTCTAACAAAGCAATGGAAAACAAGTTCAAGACAGGCAAATCAGCTTGTTACCGCTGTGGTGTTGAAACCCACCAAGCACCACAATGCCGTTTCAAGGACTCAGAATGCCACTTCTGCGGAATTAAAGGACACATCTCGAAGGTATGCAGAAAGAAAAATTCTGCAACTATTAAAAGCTCAAAGACGCCGGTAAAACTCATCCATGAAATCAAAGCAGTGAATGAAAGATCCTTGCCAAAGCTGGAAGTACCTATCAAGATCCAAGGGCAAACATGCACAATGGAACTGGATACTGCAACGAATGGGAACTTCATTTCAAAGCAGACATGGAAGGATTTGGGAAGTCCAAATCTTCAGAAGCCTGATTTACACTATGAATCAGCAAGTAAACATAGTTTACCAATCATTGGTACGTTCGTCGCCAAAACGTCAACACAGGAGTCAGAGGAGACACGTGATATCAAGTATACAGTGTCAGAAATCCCAGAACTTAACCTATTGGGACGAACTGCTACTAAGGAGCTGGGCATCTCTGTAGACCAAGCACTCAACGATGTCGAATCATGTCATGCAGTCTTTAGCAATCTAAAGGCCGACATCAAACTACAGGAGAAATGCAAGAAATTGTGCAATGAATTTAAAGATTTATGGAAACCGGAATTAGGATGCCTCAAGGACTATGAACTCGAAGTAAAGTTTAAGCCCAATGTCCAGCCTATCTTCAGGAAAGCACGGCCAGTTCCATTTGCCATGGAAGCTGATTTGGAAGAAGAATACCAGAAGGGTATAACAAAAGGAGTATGGGAAGCCACACAATTTTGTCAATTTGGGACTCCAGTGGTTCCTATCAAGAAGGCTGTGCTCCCAGGACAAAATAAACCCAAGATCAGAGTCTGTGGGGATTATTCTGTCACAGTCAACCATCAACTGGAGGAACATCGACACCCGCTTCCTCTCCCCGAAGATCTTATGAGAAGATTGGGAGGAGGATATGGATTCACCAAAATTGACTTGGCAGATGCATATAACCAAATCAAGCTTGCGCCGGAAAGTCAACGAAGACTAGCACTTAGCACTCATAAGGGAGTGCTTTTGCAGAAAAGACTTCCATTTGGTATCAAATCTGCCCCCGGATACTTTCAACAGATCATGGATCAGCTCACCGTAGACCTTCCTGGTGTGGCTACCTATCTGGATGACATCCTTGTAAGCGGTATTGATGCTGAGGACCACCTGAGCAATCTTCGGCGTTTGCTCCAAAGACTGCAAGACAAAGGTCTCCGTTGTCGACAGGAAAAATGTCACTTTGCCCAGCCATATGTTGAGTATTTGGGACATCTACTGTCACAACAAGGAATCGCAAAAGGTCCTAAGGTAGATGCTGTTCTTAAAATGACAGCTCCTACAAACGTTTCAAGTCTTAAAGCTTTCTTAGGATCTGTCCAGTTCTATGCCAAATTCCTACCATCAGAACTAGCTACAATAGCAGAGCCTTTGTACAAGCTGACAAAGAAGACGGTCAAGTGGAAATGGCAACAAGAACACCAAAAGTCTTTCCAACGTCTGAAAGACTTGCTTTCTTCAGAGAATGTCCTGGTTCATTTTGAAGAGAAACACATCCTAGGTCTGGCATGCGACGCTTCAAACGTTGGAATTGGAGCCGTATTATTTCATCGTTTTCCAGATGGAAGCGAGCGCCCAATTGCCAATGTCTCCAAAACTCTCACAGAAAGTCAAAGGAACTATAGCCAAATCCAAAAAGAAGCCCTGGCAATTGTGTTTGGATTGAAGAAGTTCTACCAGTACCTATTTGGACGGAAGTTTGTACTGGTCACAGATCATCGACCACTGTTAGCCTTATTTGGGCCTGGAAAAGATGTTCCTCTAATGGCTGCTAACCGACTGGCTCGTTGGGCTCTAATGTTAAGCCAATTCAACTACAAGATTGAATTCAGGAAGACTAAGGATCACGCTAATGCTGACGCTCTCAGTCGTCTACCTCTGCAGGAAGATTCACAATTTGATGAGGAGGAAAGTGTAGATGACACATTAATGGTCTGCCAGATACAGACAATTGACGAGAAAGTCACTCCAGCAGAACAAGGATCTCTTGCAAGAGAGTCAGCAAAGGATCCAATAATCTCAATGGTAATGAGATTCATTCGAGAAGGCTGGCAACCAAAGAAGAACGATGAAGGAACGGAAATGCACAGATTCCGACAGGTTGCTACTTTACTGTCCATATGTAATGGTTGTTTAGTCCATGGGTCGAGAGTGGTGATTCCAGCAAGCATGAGAAGAAACGTTCTGGGACTTCTTCACCTAGGACACTTTGGAATGCAGCGAATGAAGCAACTGGCTCGCACGGCTGTCTATTGGCCAAACATCGATGAGGATATTGAGGCCACATGCAGACACTGCATACCTTGCGGTCAGCATCAGAACAGACCAGCCAAACCTGCAATTCACCCATGGATGCTTCCAGAGAAACCCTGGAGCAGATTACACCTTGACCATGCGATCAACTTCATGGGTACAAACTGGTTGCTGCTTACAGATGCATATTCTAAATACCCATGCATCCATCCAACACAGTCCGTTTCAGCCAAAGCTACGGTTGACCTATTGGAGCAGGACTTTGCGCATTTCGGTTACCCACACACCTTAGTAACAGATAACGCTTCTGCATTCATGTCAGTCGAATTCCAGACTTGGTGTAAGGAGCGAGGCATTGTCCATCTCACCGGAGCTCCATACCATCCTGCCACTAATGGAGCAGCTGAACGACTTGTGCAAACTTTCAAGCAGGCACTCAAGAAGTCAAGTCTTCCTCCCAGAAAAGCCCTGCAAGAATTCCTTATGCAGTTTCGCAGAACTCCCAACTCCAGTAGGTATTCTCCGAGTGAACTGCTGAATTCACGTCAAATTAGAACCAAGATTGATACTCTATTACCATCTCCAGCGCATACAGCCCAGGGAAAACAAGCTAGAGAGGCTACCAAATCCCAGCAGAAAGAGATTATCTCTAAAGTAGTAAGATCTTACAAAGTCGGAGATCCTGTCTACGCCCTCTACTTTGGTCCTAGAAGAGACAAAGAAGGTCGTTGGGTGCCAGCTGTAATCATCAAGCGCAAAGGCTCTCGATCTTTCAATGTTCGAGTACAGCCAAAAGGCCCTACTTGGAGACGACACCTTGAGCAGTTGCAGCCGCGTTATGCTTCAGTAGAAGATGATGATCCCGGAGTTCCTCCTTCGCCGTCTACAGAAAGAGCAACTCCACCTCTGACAAGCGCTGCTACTTCCGTGGAACTGCCAGGATCTGCCACCGAAAGAAGGCCAGCTACACCAGAGTACGGTCCTCACAAACCACGAAGATCAAAACGGGCCCCTAAGCCTAAGAAGATGTTCTCGCCTTCGCCTTGAACTTCAAGGCTAGGTGGGGAGGTGTTGTGTGTAGTTGCGCTGCGATGCTGCTGATTTAACAAGAAAAGAACTGCGGCATCGTGTGTTGAATTACAAAAGGACTTGTCACCTTATTGTTGAATTATCGTCAATGAACCTTCAGAATACTTTGTTTCGTGTTTCTAAGGTGTTTTACGAACGTTGTTTGTTTTGCCTTGATGTTATTCAGTTTTCAAAAGTTGGATGTTAATATTATTAAATTGAGTTCACTGCTTTCCGATGTTTTATTACTGTGATCTCGACTTGAACGCAAACGGATCACTGGAGTATTTAGAAAATTCCTCACAGATACAACAATTTTGAAAGAGGCAAAAGCACGAATCAGCCAGTTTTTGATGCATGATACTGACTTTGCATATTCGTAGCTATAGGTTATTGGTCATACATTTGTACTATGTCACCGTTACTGAACTTTATTTTACAAATTACTGGTCTTCTTCCTGGATATTTTATGATAAAAATGATAGAGCATGTTTTCTGGCCTTTAGGGCATTTTATTTGATTCAAGCAGAATCTGTCAAGCTCATCAAAATGTTTTGATGGATTTCTGAGTAAATATGCCAATTGATTATTTTTTATACCCATACTTGGGAATATAATTTCCTCTTGTATGCTATAATTCCTAAATGCTTTTTTACTGTTAATATACAACAAAACTTCTCATGGGAAACGCCTCCTTGGTCAACCTTCAATATACAATCTTCAGAACTCCCTTATTGGTAAATCATATGATATGTAATCCTTGAAGACTTCTCTCTAACAAATCAGACTATGAATCTAAGAAGTGGATGACAGTAAAAGCCAGGAAAAAACAAAAGGAAAGTGATGGCACGATCAAAGTTTATTACAAATACAACTTTAAGACCCAACAAAACACATTACGAACATTGCATCTAAGTGCATCAATCCAGTGGTTATAAATGAATCCAGTGGTCAAAATATAATCTTGAAGAGAAAAGCTATTAGCTGACAAGCTCCTCTTTGAACCACGGATAAAATAGAACAAGTAAGTTTACTATTTACAAGTCTTGTCTAAACAATCAACTTTCTTGAGCCTGAAAAGAAGAGGATAAAGAATGTTATCACCAGGAAAGTACCTTCCTTTGTAAAGCTTTGGTAGTTATGTTTAACTAGCAACCATACAGTAGTTATAAATGATACTTAGTTTTGTAAGTGAAAAACACAACAAACAAAAGGGTTGTTGAATTTAACAGCTGTTTAATGAATATTTTCACTTGCTATATAATTATTTCCATAACACCATCCAAGGAGCAACTGTTAAACTTCAAGCAAATAACATGATGTTCCTCTCAAAAAATACTTCATATACTTTATAAACTAACATGAAACAAAGTGGACTGGAATATATACCTGCTCATTTCCATTTTTTGGTTCATATTGCTCAAGCTAGAAATGGAAACAAAATCATGAAACAATCAATTTTGCTTTCTCTAATAGACATAGCAGCTTTTTAAGAACATAATTGTTGCACTTTCAAAGAACATGAAAAACAAACTTAAACTGTGATGAAATACAAAGCAGAAGTACCTTCTGCTTTAGCTGGGTAACCTCTTCTGTTAGCTCTTCATTCTTTTGAGTCAACTCTGAAACCTGTAATTTCAATGATTCAACATCTGCTGTTTCAGGTGGTCCTCCATGAAGATGATAACGTAAGAAGCTACACAAGGTTAAGGGAGACACAAATACTTGTCCTTGCACAGAACCTAATAAAGTAATTTGACAAGCTCAAAAAAGTCTAATCTGTTTTGGCAAAGCCCTACCACTGTGAATAAAATAAAAGCAAGTAATTATCATGCCACAATTCAAATTATAATCCCAAAGGAAGGATAATCTGCAAACCTACTATCCAATTTTCTCTTAAAATTTGATGCAACCAATATGTTTTGCGATAAATTTTTCAGGAATAAAATAAATAAATAAATAAAGATTTTTGACTAATCCAGGTATACAGTAGTCAAACTTCCCTTGCCTGAAGAAATCATGTATTTAACTTCAATTCTGTCACTTATAGGAAACTCACAAATTAAACAAATAGGGAAAGGTTGTTTACTAAAATATCAGTTTTATAGATAACAAACACACAAGGTAGCAAGTTATTTTTAAAATTGATTTTACACAAATTTTTTCACACATTCAATACCAATCAAGCTACCAAGCCAAACGTATGCACATACTTTCAAAAATAATATATGGTAAATTTATGATAAATATTAAATTACTAGAATAAAATACTTTTAGGTTCAGGTACATGTAATAGAAGGATACTCCAATGCATTATTTGGTTTTTCTGGTTCTTCATACAGTGCAACAAGGACTAAAAAGAAAAAAAACCTTAATTTTGTTGGTAATGGGTCTTCTGGTAAATATTTTGTGACATAGGCAAAGTTTAAAATGTTTATAATCCTGAGAAGCAAAAATTTGACAAAATGATAATTTAATAACCTTTACTTAATAATTTCTATGGTTAAAAGCAAGAGTTTTTTTTAGGAATGTTCAAAGCTGAAATTTGGCACTGCGTATTCTTGAGGCAATGCTTGCAAAATTTGAGGTAGCCAGTCCTCAAATTAAATATTCTGTTATTGCTACCACTATCTAGACATTGTATGTGTTAATGAAATTATAACTGGTAAGCATACATCATTGGCTTCTAAAACAGAAAGTGCTTAATGAGTTTGCCAAAAAAACATTGATAACATAGACAAGAATACCATTCATTAATTTGAAGTACTTATGGACATTTATGTGAAACTTAAAGGACAAAACCTTAAAAAATTTCAACAAGTTTTCCAAATACATTTGAAGTGACAAATGTTTTATGATTATTGTACCAGCACATGCAAATTTTCATCAACTTATAACATGAGAAAAATTTCAAAAATTCAAAAATTTTTGATTACAATAAAACCTAAGCAGGCTTTCATATTGAGCTGAAATTTTAAAACTTTTGTGGGTTTTTTGTTAAGAGTGAAAGTAACTCTTTGAGCATACACTCATTATTTTTTTAAGAAACAAAGGTCAATGTTGAGTACTCCAGTTTTTTAATGTTGTAGAAATTTCAATACTCATGGTTTCTTAAGAGTTTCTTAATTATGATGTCATGAATGATGTTATGAAACGTTTGTGACCTTTTTTATCATGTCAAGAGATTCACTTCCGTTCTGATGCTGTATTTAGATGTGGGAAGTACATTTTTATCCCTCTTATCTTAAGTTTTAGGCCAGCAGAACAATCGTGTTTTTGGATTTTACAAAATTTCGTTGTTTTCAGTTTTATCATGATTTAATTTTTTTGCTTTGAGTACTGAAGTTTCTGAATTTTTTCTGACTGTCCAGTACTTGTTTCTTATAGCGAGTTTATTATAAAAAATGAGAGTATCAGAAATATAGTTGTTAGCGATCTAATGATATCTGAGATATCTCCAAAAGTCAAGAACTCATGCAACCTCTTGTCAGCGCATCAAGTACTCCTGCTTTTTCAAGATACTTTCGGAATTCCTCTCTTTTCGAATCAGCTGGCTGAAAGGAAAGAAAGCTTTTACAAAATTAGGTTGAAAACTGGTGTCATGCCATGTATATAGCAAAGAAACACAAAAATGAGCCAAATAATTATTATATCATATAAACTAATCATTTTCAAATCTAAAGATTCGGCAAAATAAACAAAACTTTAATCAAAAAAGTGACTAGAAAGCAGACACATCATTTTGTTAGCATAATAAAGGGCACTAATAGTTTAAAGAATATTTACGCATATGATGAATCAGAATACTTGTTAAAATGTTTACCCTGATCAACAGGCCCAGAAAAAGTGTTGTTACCCTAAGTTGAATTTTTTAAGCACCTATTTCATTAACAAAAAAATGACAGATACCTTTCCAGCAGTATTTCCTGAAGTTGCAGGCATCATGAATCAAGTGTGATATAGATATTTTGATACTGACCAGCTCCGCTTCTGTTTCTAAGGCCTGCGTTTGTCGTTTCTAATGATTCAATCAGACAAGCAACCACTCTAGTTTGATTTACCTCGATTTCAAAAAGAGATTGGCGTTGTCGCATCGACCGCAACTACTAACCGCAACGAAACCACTGACGAAGGGATAGAAGGGTGACTAGTACCACCAGTAATTTCTGAAAATTTATTTAAATTCTCGGCTATATTTTTGAATTGGATTTCTGGTTGGCTTTTGGTGGAAATTTTTATGTTGATGTGAAGCTATACAGGCACCGCGCAGCCATTGGGCTAAAGTCCCCCCTCACTTTTTTTGCAATAATAGGTTAGAAAATTTTTAGAAAGTTTACTCAAGCGCATTTTCTTTGTGTTTTATCCTGTATAATGATATGCTGTATTTTTTAACTTCATTATATCTATATTAATATTAATGATAATAAACCATCGCTTCGATGGGTACTTTTGTCAAAAGGGGAAAAAGATCTTCAGTAAAACTTTTGCCACTTGAGTTTCAGCTCTATCAGGGGCTATTCTGAGAAAAATTTACAACACCACAAATGCAAGTATTGGTAATTTTTTTGTAAAGTCTTATAGAAAATTTTCTGGAAAAACGAACCGAAACAACGGTAGAACGAGAACCACTGATCTAAAAAATAAGTCTTTCGTTTGACTTCTTTGTTGGCATTGACGTAGGAGAAAGAAAATATTTAGGGGGTATAATAGATTTTACAGTAAACAGTAGTTTCGTGATTTTACTTGATACGGATGCAAACAATAAAAAGCTGGAAAAACTGGCTCGAAGTAGCAAATGAAATGTGAATGAGAAAATATTATCAGATCTAGACAGAACTGGCATTAGAGCACCAAGATGTGGTCAATTTTATTGATGTCGTTTTGAAAAATATTATTCTGGTAGATTTGGTTTTACATATCAACATCAATAAAGTGTATATCCAAATTTTGTGAGCTGCAAGCTTTAAAGCCGTGATCGTGATATTTAAAGGCAAATCAGATCGTGCAATGTTATTTAAACTTCCATGCAGAGTTGAATTTCTTTTGTCATACAAAACCTGTAACTTTATGTGCATTGTGGAAAGTCAGCGTTTGTTTTCAAAAGGGCGAACACTGACGTAGAAATTGTTACCTAATACACGAACCAAACCAGGCGAGGAAGATAAACAGCCAAGATCAAAAGCTAAATTGTTTTTAGATTAAGGACAAACAGACTATTTACTATAAATCTTCTTTAATGTTTAGCTTTTGTTTTGATATTCTTTGTGGAACTTGACTTTCTTTTTGTTTTTCCCAACGATATCTACATGCTCCAAAACATTATTCAAGATGGTTGATATTTTCAGGGCTCACGCTACGAATTTGAAAATGGAGGTCCAAGACTAGCTAAAGTAAGGGGTCAAGGCTTCTTTCCCAATTTACAGCAGCTTTAAATCTACTTCCTTCGAAAATAGTAGGGGGTGGCCATGGCCACCCCAGCCCCCGCTTTGGCGTTGGCCCTGTTTTTATAGGACCCCAAAATTGAAATCATAACACTACGAAATGGCAACAGAACCACATTAGAATAACCTCTGATTATGCACGAAAGTGAAAAATATTTTAAAAACAAATAAGAATTCTAACGCGATCTTGCCAGGACATACGGACGCTGCGCTGCCGTCCTTTCGCGGGTTTCACTTTGACCGTTGGCAGTGAAGGCTTATGGGATAGAACGTTTTTTCGAAGGCCCATGTGTCGTACACTATTATAAGTCTAGTGGTCGCTTTGCTATTACCAACAAAAACAACTTTGAAAGTACTATTTGCACGTGATATAAGAAGCAAGGTAGATGCGATGAAATTAATCATGTAGCCCGATTACTAGTGTTCTAACTTCGAGAAAGATCTGAACACATCTTTGTATCTCCCACATACAGACAGCAAAGATGGCGGACATGGACCTTGTTCGTTTTTTCAACAGCGAGGTATGGTTAAAGATAAGATGCATATTGATAAATTTATGTACAAGAAGCATCCAAGAAATTTCGGCTCACGATATCTTGACATAGTTAGCGTATATTTCATCTTGATGTCTCATCATTGAAACGGATGTCTGGCTACTCCCATTTTTATACACGAACCCCTGATTAGCCGCATAGTACACCGTTTACCTTTTCACCCTTTGAATTTCGCGTTTGTAAGATATAAAGGCAAATTTCGTTACGATCGTAGAATAACTGTAGTTGCAGTAATTTATTATTGAAAAGTTGGTGCCTTTATAGAATGGTTCCAGTCCAAAAAGATCAGTTATTGTGGGATATTGAAAAAAACAAGGTCTCCTAATAAATTGTTTTGTGACCAAGAACATTTTTAAAGCTGCCCCTGACAACAAGCTTTATCTATAAATGTATGCACGCCTCCTCAAATAATGATTTTGATTTGAACCAATATGTACCCTCAAGGTGCGAGCACAAGAAGTCCAGCCTCGCTGTGAGCATATGCAAGTTTTCCAGCCTGGAGCATTGCCCTCATGAAATAATCAACAAGGGAATCTTGAGGGCTGGGTTGCTCTGTTGTTCTCTCCAATTTAATTTGACCATGTTATTTATTAAATAAATCTTATGGAAGGAATTACGTTAAGGAGAAACTCTCTCAATAGTTAGAAACTAATCCAAGAGAAAACATTCACCTGAATATGTCAAAACGCAGTGTAGACTCTGCCTGTTATGCTCCTTGGGACCTTAAGGGGTTTCTTGTTTTGTTGGACTGGTCATTCTGTAAGCTTAGCAAAACACATGGTGATTTCATCAAGAAAAAGGCTTATGTCAACAAATAATGCAAATTCCATTTAATTTATATTTGCCAACACATAACGAGTGTTGGAAAAGATTTCATTTTTTGGCCTCAGTGCCTAGAAAAAAGGTAATCCTTTCTCCTGTGAATTTCCTCAAGCTCTGAAAACCCTTTCAAGAAAACAAAAACAAAGCATCATTTGGGCTTGGTACTTCAATATTTTTTCTCATCCTTTGCCTTCATTGCAGTCTTTGACTTTGTAACTGTCAAGTAACTTTGCATAAGCTAACCCTCCTTTTTCTGCTAATGGAAAATGCAATTCAGTATTCAGTATTAAATGATTGAGAAAGTAAGAAATTGCTGAGAAGGAATCAAAAGTTTCCTTAACGAAAGAAAATAATATTACCAGTATTGAACAATGTTTAGAAATGTTACAATATACAGAAACAATAAACATTTTATATGATGTAATCCTTAGATTTAGACTCAGTGTATATGCCAAGACACCAATAAAATTATCATTGTATATAGTTTTGTAAAAATTATATGGTTGAGTTTTCACTTATATATAATATTTGAAAAATTTGTAATAATGGAATGATAATGTTTATATTCTTCCTAGTTGTCAGCGCTTTATGAAACAAAGCCACCCATATCAAAAGCAAAGATGACATCTATTACAAAATATGCTGTCAAGGCTGTTAAGGTATTTTGCAAGCTGAGATTTGAAATGCTTCCATACACTTATCATTAAACATTTTAAAAAACTATATATATATAATGTTTTATTTTAACATAATACAATAGACAAGAAACAATAAACAGATATATATATATACTTGTAAGGTGAGAGGTTTTGCATTGTATTGTGAAGGGGTTTTGCAAGATGAGAGTTATGCTTCAAACTTTTTCAAGTATAATAACGTATGTTATCAAATCATAGAAGATACAAAGGTAAAATGAAAAATTTATATATATTTAATATATAAACCCCTTCAAAATTCACAAGTATATATATACACACATTTAGGTAGATATTTATTGGTAACTGCTAATTTACTGTGACAATAGGATATCTCCAAACATTGAAATAAGTTCTATAAATATTCTGTATTTTGCTAAACATCAAGGCAATTTTCACCTTTGTTTACCAAAACAGCGAGAAGTCTGTAAGAAATATAATGTCAGACAGCAGTTATTGGAAAACCTTTAAAATATCTAATAATTTAAGAGTGAATCAATTTTCTATATTGTAGTTTTACAAGCACATTGTTCATGGTGTGGAAAAGTTTGTTCAGAAGGTATTGCAAATTTTTAAACTTTTGTCAATTTTTTCCAGTAATCCATAAAAGATTAATAAAAAACTCCAGTAGTATTTGTCAGTAACTCTACACTCCCCTCACAAAAGTATTGCACCACCTTGTTCAAAATGGCGGCACTTTTTGTCAATATTTTGACAATACAAAACATTTGAATGCATGAATTGGGTGGAATAGGCATATTTTATATCAAATTTCGGCGGGAAAAGTTTGCAAATTTTGCTGACGCCATAGAAAATCTAGTTAGAAATGTAAATTTTACGGAAAAACATTATTGTTTGTAAAAATGTAGACCATGCCTAAGGGAGAAAATTTGTCAAATGAGAGGCAAGTCCCTATATAATTTTTACAGGGAAGTGGTCTTTAGTTTTTGAAAAATTGTTGACCAAGTTAGATGCAGCCACACAACAGCTTCAATAAATCAAAAAAGGATCATTAGAACAATAGAATCATTAATTAAAAGAAGTCTTCAGGTTTGGAATAAAATTCCACAATAATACGTTGCCCAATTATATGCAACCAATTCAAGGAGGCATAAAGCAGTTTCAAAGTTCATAGTTCCCGTGAAAATATTAAAATTTGAAACTGTTAAAAGACGTTTTGAAACTGTTATTTTGAAAAAAGTTTTCTAAAAAGATTGAAATTTTGATTGGTGGTTGTTTCACTTCCGACACACTCCCATTCGCCATTTAAACACAATCAATTCGCACAACAATAGCTTTCGATAATTGTTGCGCCATTTTCCCTCCTTCGAGGTGGTGCAATACTTTTGTGAGGGGAGTGTACATGAAAAATTTTTACCAACAACTCGAAGTAGTGGACTTTCCCAAAGTCAATTTTTGTTGAATCCACAAGCCACTAACACTACTACCTCTCTCTATCTATGAAAACCTCTCTACCTTGTTAGACCACTTGTCAGCTTATCCAGCCTTTTAATGTTATTTTTCTAGTGTGTTATAGTCAAAGTCAATTATAACACTTGCGGTTGACAGATTTTAGTTATTTCCTTCACCCAATACTTTTTTTCAAACTTTTCTATTGGCCCCTCATGTATTGAGCCATCTTTGTAGCTGCATTGTGAGTACCACAGAAGCTGATTTAGTTGTTCAGGTTGTGGATTTGAAAATAAACAAAATGAACTTGAAATAAAAGGAAAAAATAGACTTGGGGAAAGTGTACAAAGTAGCAACTTGGAACTTTCTTTTCTATTTATACCAATTTTAGTATTGATTTGTTTACAGAAGCTTTGTTCATTTTAGTGTCGACCAGAATACAAGGTTCCTGGACTTTATATAATTGACTCCATTGTCAGACAATCTAAACATCAGGTAACCTTAAAACATTTGTTTCTTGCTTATTCTCTGCTTTTCTGGGTTTTGGCTTTTGTGTAATTTGGCAGTTTTTTAGATTTTAAAGCTATTTTGCTATTTCAATGGACCCAGGATCATTTAATAGATATTTTATTTATTCTGAAAAATCTTTGTTAATATGAATGTATGTATGTATGATTTTACAATCTTTGATAAAGCTACAGTATGCAAAAATTAGAGGTCAGATACCATTATGATCTTAACAGAATTTTTGTCTTTTTTTTGTAGTTTGGAAGAGAGAAAGATCTTTATGGTCCACGATTTGCAAAAAACATCAAGAGCACTTTTTCCCATTTGTACAAATGCCCAGAGGATGATAAGGTAATTTGATACAGCCATGCTTTATAAACAATTCAATGAAGACTGGACCAATAGATCAATTAATACATTGATGTCATATTTGGAGGAGTGGGTCTGCCACCATCCTGGTGTTTCTTGTACTAAGTTAGTAATAATTAACACTTTGTTTCTGTTTAAACTTGATTACTTTTGCTTTCATTGTCTCTTGTTTCATACTGAATTACGGAGAAAAGGAAGCAATGAAAAAAAGGAAACATTTATAAATGAAAAGGTTTAATGCTTTTGTTAAAAGTTCCAGGTTTATCATGTTCACATCAGTTCTTGGCAATTAATTGTGTGATTTGAGGCTGATATGTTGTTTTGTATTTTTAGTCAAAAATTGTGCGTGTCTTAAATTTATGGCAGAAGAATGGAGTTTACACCCCAGAGATTGTTCAGCCACTTCTTGATATGGCAGCTGGACAGAATCATCATCACCACCATCACCACAGTAAGTCGTAGATCATAACGGTTGACAGTTGAGTCATCTATATTGATAGGTATTGTACATGTGATGAAATTAGTTTCTACCAATCTTTCATACTGTGCTCGATACTTCATAGGCAGAGCTGTACTTGTGTTGGTGTACATAAAACAGCTTGGTCCTAAGTTGCAACTCAGATACATTTATATAGAGAATGGTTTGATTTGTTGATAACAGGGTCACCCCTCTTACCCCACCCCTTAACTATGTTGATTGAAAAGGTTGTAACATACCTTATTTGATAGATCCACACAAAAAAAGTTTTAAATCTCTGAAACTTTTGCTATACGTAATTTTTTAAAGGGGAGATGGGGAATGCTAATAAAATATGCAGAATTATGACGTAGGTTGTATACCTAAACTTTTGGCAGGCATTACAGTTTTCTCATAGAAGTTGAATTACGGATTATAAACATATAAACACTATTAGTCACGAAAAGTCGATTTGGAAGAAAGCCCTGCACGTTTCATTTGCCATTTCTTTACAATAAACAAAAAACGTCCCTCCCTCTGCAGCAAGTGAATTAGCAGACTCCCCAACAGACGATAGTGATTTGTCCAGCGCAAAGCCTGCTTCTGGCTCAAATTACCTGACCATTTTGGAACAACAACGACAGCAGCAAGATGTGCAGATTCAACAGCTGAAAAAAGCGCTTGAGCAGCAGCAACAGCAACAACAAATTCTACAACAACAGCTGCAATTGCAAATGCTTCAGCAGCAAAAACAACAACATTTGCAGGTGAGGATATAATGTCTTTTGTTGTCAAAGTGAGAGACTGAAAGTTTATTTTCACAGTTATCTAGATATAGGCCAACTTTTGATAATTCAAACTTGGCTTAGTGGTTAGAGCAACGGAATACAGATCAAAGGAAAATACAATGAAAACCCAATACTAGATCGAAAGGTCTGATGAAGCCTGGCATGACGAAGAATTCACTTCAAGTGATGAGAGTCACAAGCTCTTTGCTAATTGAGGCATAGGAATCACAAAGTTTCGTCACGTCAAGAGATAGGTCCAAGACACTGCTCAATAAGCATGGTTTTTCAATGTCCCAAAACTGGATGCTAGGTGAAACTATTAGGTAGAATACAATGCCCTTCCAGGAGGTAATAAAAGTTTTTTGTGGAATGTTTTGATGGACAAGTATTCGTATCAGCGCCGCCAGATACTCTTAAATGTTTATCTTATAAACACCTTGCCTTCTGTGCCTTGATATATATACATATATACCTGTTAAGTCGATTTTCCTTACAGATTTTTTGAAATTACCATGTTTTCGCAGGGAACCAGCCTGTGTGTAATATTTGTGTATATCAAAAGAGTCGTGTTCAGTCAGGATAAACAATTAGTATGCCAGAATGAATGTACAGAAATGTTAGATGAGTGAAAATTAATAAGCCCCTAGATCCTGGAAACAAGCTCCTTACATTTCCAAATGCTCAAATTTTGGGTTATTTGTTTCATTTTTGAGTAAATCAATTTGATAAAGCTGCTGCAGTGCTTCTTTAATCATCTATCATTTCATATTGAAGGCTATTTTGATCTATTTTGATAGAGTAACACTCTGGAGCAGCAGCAGCAAGAGCAGCGTGGTGGCCAAACGTTACCGCAAGGCTTAGGGGTACCACCAGGCCAGGCTGTAGCACCAATGAACATGGCAGCGGCTTCGTCACATGTCACTAGTCAGAGAGTACAACCGGAAACGAGAATGCCCGTTAACCAGGAGGCACAGATGACAGCTGCTGCTCCATCAGGAAACCAAATGGCAATGTATGTTCTCAGATTTTTCACCTTTCTTGCCAGTGCTGCAGCTTTTTCTCGTTCTTTCAATAAGCAAGTTTTGTTCTAAGCTGATTACCAGTAAACTTTTTTATATTTTCGATTTTCTTACATTAACCGATCATTATTAGTCTTATTGGTTAAACGATTACTCCTAAATGCAGTTTGATGAAAGGTCCTCAAAAGGGCTGTGTCACGGTTTTATAAACAAACCTAAAACACAGGACATCGTGCATTTGTGGCCTACTTTGCACATTGCGATAAAATGGATGGTTCTCCCGTGCTTCAATAAACTCGATTAACTGTACTTTTTAAACATAGAACGTATTTACTGAACAGAATATTTACTGAACTTGGAACAAACAATTCGTATTTGCATATACTGTTAAAGCGATAGCTATATATTGATATGGCTGTCACGTAAAATGTTCTTCTAGAGTGTCTTATAGCCAGACTGGGCTCCATTTCTTATAATTGTAGATTGCTAACGGGCATTCACCCACGGCAATCTTCCACGTTTGATTTTAAGAATATGTATTCTCTATAAACCATTTAAATTTTTAGGCCACAAGGTAAAGATTTATCAAGCAAACCAATGCAAGGTGCAGCGTTGATTATGGAGAAGTTCAAGCGAATGATGCAAAATAGCAGCGGTGCGCAGTCAGGTAGCGAAAACCAAGCTGGTATACCTGGTATTGGAGGTAACACTCCCGTCAAGAGCGACAAAGGGAAAAGTCCTGGATTCAATCAGGTATTTCTTGTGCCAGCTTTCAACATAGTTTCCAACATTTACTGGTTTTTTCTGTTGTACAGTAGAAATTCGCATTACTCAATCCATTTGCAACTGCAACGTGGCTGAAATTTCCCCTTTGAAAGTTCCGGGATAAAGGGCATCCATAATTAAAGTAAAAAAGACCAGAAAACCAAGTGTTTGAAATGTTTGCAAATTCCAGGAAAGCAAAGAAAGAAGCCTGGCCTTTTCAAGTAATTCCGATGCTATGATTTTTCAGGATGTGGTAAAAAGTATTTGTATTCCCTCCTTATTGTATTATCACTGGTGAAGTAGTTAAAAGCTAGATAAATTCAAAAAAGAAGTAGCAAGATAGAAATGATGCAGTTTTAGGCTTAGCAAGTTGTATTGCTCTGTCTATGCGGTTTTCTACTTATTCTTGACGCTGATATAAATAATTGCTGTAACAAGAGGCAATGATCTGCTTTGAGAATTTATCTTCTGGCATTGTTATGGTACTTTCTCTTTGGATTCTGAAGAACATCGAAGGAAGCAGAATGAGGAACCTGCTGTTTCCCAGCGTCATGTGCAGGGAAAGATGTCAAAACTGGATAAGTTCATCCGCACAACTGGAGCACTTGGAATTACTTTTGCTACATTTCGATTTCTATTTAAACGTTATTCTTGTGGCTTTTATAACTGCTTAATAAAGTTTACACATGCAATTGTTATGATCAAGAGCCTCGTTAAGGCTTCAACATGTTTTAAATTACAAGACGAAGCATCTGGATTAGTAAATCTATGCAAGAAGCATTTGGGCCTACAACGACCGTGCATGACTATTTTGAACTGGGAAAACCTTGTTAAGGCTAGTCTGAAAGCCAAATGTGTTTTCAAAATGAATATCTCAGAGCGCTGGTAGTTAAGACGGTAATGATGCGTACACCCCACGGGGTAAGTAGGGGCTGCTTTTCACTGATTGTTGACCGAGCTAGTTCCTCGCACTAAGGGTTACACTTCCAGAATCACTGCGCTTGCTTTGGAATTTCATGAATGCGTTTGCTTTTTAAGTGTTTACACCATAATGCTTTGGATGCTTGTCTGACACTAACAATCAACTCAATTGAATGGCTTTTCTTGTTTTGTCCTGCTTTCCTACCAAAAAGACAGCATTTCGTTGTCATGAAGCATTTCTTAACCTCTCCAAATCACTCAAAATCCTGGTGCACTACTAACATTTCACCAGTATAAACTCCCCCATCCACAAAGGTGTTTTGATGGGGGAGTTTTTGAGATTACGATAGAGTTTCGCTCGATTTTCTTGTGAGGCTTGCCGTTGGGTGAGAGTCCAGCAGTGCTGGCCAATCACAGCTGGCTGCGAACGCCTTTCAGCATCCATTGCATTGTGGTTATATTGTGACGTATCGTTTTATTTCATGTGTTATTGTTTCGTGAACCTCGTTTTGCAACAGGCTCTGTTGGATGCGTTTGATTATGGTGACGACGAAGATGATGAGCAGCGGTTGGCCGAACAAAGACGTCATCTCATGGAGGAGGAGTCACGTTTGATGAGGAGGTAACAAACCGATATTTATCCAGCCTCCCTGGCTTATATGTTGCTTTTCGTATCATTTAACGAGCTAAAACTGACGGCAGACATTTCGAATCTGGGTGCTAGCAAATCACTATATAATATAGTATAAGTAACAGTATTTTATTAATAGATCAATAATAAACTGTTTCAGGTGGGCCAGGGCCAATGAACTGGTTCCATGTTTTCCACTATTCAAAAAATGGGCCTAGACATACTTGCCGCCATTATTCCTTCGGGCTCTTTGATTCATAGCAAACATAAGTAAAATAAGGAAAAAAATGTTTGATGAAAACATGGAAGTTCAAATACACTTGAAATGTCAGTAGAAAGAGAACACAAAGCAAGCGTATCTACTCATGCATATTTTTATAGATTTTGATATTGATTCATCTATGATAAAAGTAAATTGGCCGAAACAGCCTCTGTAGTAATTAAAAACATTTTACACCTCTGACATATATATATTAAAAAAAGATATCTACAGGAAATGAAAAACTCCAGAAATAAGACTGATTCTAACGATGATACAGGATAAACAACGTCCACGATTGAAGTAGACCAATATGCTAAAAATTATACATTCTATTTTTCATACGTTCTGGAAAAAATTATTGTGGTCAAAAAGATGTTCCTGGTATATTTGCATTCTGTATGATATAAACTTTTGAGCGATTCTGTTTGAGTGATTAAAATACACTGTCATGTACAGTGTATAATTTTATCCACTTTAAATTTTCGGAAGTAGAGATTTGATATAATTGGCTGTTTAGAGATTTTGATGAACTAGCGCAACATTTTAGTATTCGATGAAAAATATCATTAATTATTATCTAAGAACTAAATAAAGTATCTAAAACAATTTTACATTTGTTGATTTGATTGTCGGTATAAGATCGGTATAAGAAACTGCTACAGAGATTATAGCAGAGTTATTTTAATAAAAAATTTTCAAAGCTTCCTGAAATTCCCTTCTATGGAATATCCGCAAAAATTCATAGGTACTTCTGTTTACAGCGAGTTTAAATTTTTTTTCAAGATCCTTGTAACTTGACGCACCTTGAAAACGTAAAGTAAACAAAGACTGTTTGTAGGATGACTGGGTCAGGATTTATCAATTCCGTATTAATGCCATTCCCTCCTATTTCTGTAATACCAAATTGAAGCATATCGTTCGTAGCCGTCTGTCATTGAAAATTCTTTCCCAAATCTCATTTCGTAGTATTATGGCAACTCACTTATGATTCTTCGAAACACTCGAATTTGTTTAATTTGAATTGGTAAAGTTGAAAGTAGTAGTGATCCGTGCGTTATTTCATTGATTAAATAGATTTTCTATGTTCCATCGAGTTTTCAAACTTTATGCTGATAGACATATAAAGCGTGCTTTATGCATAAAGATGCGTGCTTTATTTATTAGAATCGTAGACTTAAACAATGGCTCGAAAAGCCCTTTGAGTTCAAAAATGCAAACCTTATAAGCTTTTATATATGAACATTTGATAAGAAGACTTCCCAATTGCTCCGTTTTACCCATAATGAACAGAATTTAGATAAACTATTCATTTCAAACTTTCCTCTATAGCTAGAATCAAAATCCATTCCAATCTTGCTTTAACAATCTTAAATTTTCGTTATTCCAATCAATCTTAGACCTCCCATATGGCCAAACTCGTAGTATGAAAATTAGGTGTCAGTTAAGACACATTCGATTTTCATCGAAAGGTTTTGTAATGTTACTCACATGCTAGTGCAAATAGCTTTGCCAAGGTTGAAAGAAAGGCCACTTTGTCCAACTAAAATGTTGGTCAAACGTAGGTATTACGATTTGCTATTGTGCTTAAGTTAGACTTTTTAAACTGATGCTTAAGTCGAACTCATAATGTTATTTTATACTTAATCGACCTAAGCGAATTTCTCTGTGTAATCCAGCCTGTTGGTTGGTTGTTATAATCGCATTCATGAAATTCCAGCGCGTTTTGTATTCGGCAAGTCCATACCCCCCTTCTCCGCATCAGGGTGATTCCATAAATTATTATCACGTGTCTGTTTATCAAAGTAAACCTGACACATAGTATACCATAGCCTCTCCGAGAATTCCTTGAAAATTGTACCCTTCCTTTCAGGTTTTATTAAGATTGACATTTATTGACGTCATTTCGATAAAAAACTTGTACTTGTTTAACCGTTACTTTGGCTTCCCTTTCTAAAATAGGGGTCTCTCTAATTATCCTTCCTTCTGGTAGATTCTCGGCTTTCTTTTTGGCGAAGAAACATAATGAATAAGTAAATAAACAGTACCATTTTATAACAAAGGTTGATTATTTTCCATTTAAACTGTTCTCAAACAGATAGGAAGAGAACATAGAAGTCCCTAAGCATTCTAACCCTAAAACCAACGCAGATAGTACCCTTACTTTTCAATGTTTATAGAGTGTACCTTGTTTGTACGTGAAATAAGTATGGGGATCTTATGAAGGTCATATAATGGCCTTGCATAAATTGGCACTATGGGTATCAGACATAGATCACGAGGCAGGTCAAATCATCAACTGCCAAATCTATACATGGCATTAATTAGTTCCACCAAAAAAAGAAACATCCCGATATTTTGGAAAAAAACTCCGAGATAAAGATAAATCTGAGATTAAAATGAACCTGGGAGGCTTTGGTATGATATTGAATTCGGAATGACCTTTTTCTGCAACTAGTTTCCGCTCATTAAATTCAAAAGCTAAGGAATTCCACTCCAGGTCTGTTTGAAAGAATATCAGCAAAGAAGGAACTAAGATCTGGGCTGTAATTACTAGGGCTAAACATTTGTTGGCACAGATGCACATGGCCCTATTTTTTGGCAATGGTGGTACCATTGTTTAATTTTTTTAACAAATTTGCTGTAAAGAAGATCTGGCCTTGTTATCACTATTTGTTCGGTAGAAGGACTCTTTGGTTATCAGTTCTTTCTTTGCCAAAAAATGTCTCAAGTGCGTTATTTTGTTCCCCGTTGATCAGGCAATTATTTTAAGGCTATGATGTTAAATACAGCTGTCGAGATCAACGTATAAGCAAACACAGGGAAACATGCATTTATTAATCTACATCTGCAGCACACCCTCCAGTCAAAATTGATGCATATACACTTTTGTAGCGAAGATATCAACATTAAACTGAGATATTCCTCCCCCTTCACCCCTGAAAAACATTTCCACTTGAATACGATGTAAGGAATACGGTTCTCTTGAAGCGAAAAAGACGCGATAGTGATAACTTGTCACTCCCCTTCCATGGTCGCGTCAATCTGCCCTGGTCGTGTTGATCTGCCTTGGCCATGTCGATCTGTCCTGGTCTGGTTTCAAATTTTCCTATTGGATGATAATGACGTCTTGGAATCTGAGTGTATTTTAGTATTTTGCAAAAACTTTTGTTTTCCTTACTTATCTGCTCACCCTTTCATTTTCAGTGGCAAAGAATCTCCCGAATATAAGTCGGCAATCTCAAATTTGCTACAAAGAGCGCAGGAGAATGTTAAAGTACCGAGAGATGACGAGGCATTGCCGCATGATCAGTACCAGCAACGAAACGCTGAGCCGCAGCAACAACACCCAACCGGAGGTCATCACCCTGGTCAGCAAACAGCAACGTCAGCTGGATTCTCCGGCTCTTCACGTGACAACAGGGGTGATGGACCATTCAATCTACCATTTTTGGAAGGTAAGTTGCCCGAAGCTGTAAATCTTTAATTGCGCATAAAGAAGCTATAGTTTGAGTGGGAAATTCTGCTCACTTGCATTTGCTGCTCTGAGAGACATTTTTATCTCTAGTCGTCTAATACCTCTAAAACCAATAGGTATTATGACAAATCGTTTAACTTAATAAGAAAATACGTCTTTGAAAGAAAAATTGTTTTTTTTCCAGTTCTATCTAGAATTCTTTCATTTCTGCTTTATTCGTAGTAAAAAATCTAAATTAATAAATTGAAGCGGTTGAAGCCAAATTATTTCTTTCACGGATTCATGTGGGTACTTTGTAAAATCAACTGTTTTTACTTTAGTCTTCCTTTTCCCCTGTCACTTTTTTTAATAAATGAGTCTCCTTTTCTGGTTAGAACAACCAAAGGCTTTCGATAAAGAGAGAACTGATCCAGGTTTTCGACCAGCTTTCAATCAAGACCAGATCCGTCACTCTGACCAAGCCAGAGGAACGGAACAGAGGCACGTTACTCACGAATATCGACATGAAGCTCCGTCGAGACCGTTTAGAGAAAGCCGGTTTGATAAAGATTTTGAACCCAGTAGAAGGAACGAAAGGGATATGCGATTTGCGGAGCGAGGCTTTAATGAGAGAGACAGGGATACAAGAGAAAGAGATGAATTTGATCATCGTGCACGTGAGGAAACACGTGTTGATTACAGGGAACGCGGTCACCGGGAACGTGGTGACCAGAGGGACCAGAGAGACCAGAGAGACCAGAGGGACCAGAGGGACCGAGATAACAGAGATCGGGGAGATCAAAGGAGAAGGCCGGAGCGTGCCAGGGATGAGGAACGGGAACGGCACCGACCAAGGGAGGGAAACCGTGAAAGAGATACACCACGAAAAGAGGAGGAAAAGGTTGTTAAGCCAGAAGAAAAAGAAGAGAAGCAAGGATTGAGTCTGGAGGAGCGGCAACAACTTGGCTTTCCGGATGTCAAAAAAGGAAGAGTCAGTCGTAAGTATTTTAGCTTGAGAAATAATGCCTTATTAATTTGAAGGCATGATAACTTTTCATTAGTTTTTGTTTATTGTTCAAAACAGGTCTTTTTAGTCCTTATCCATTGTACTTTTTCATGTGTATAATTCTCATCCCTTTACTGACTAGTAGCTCCCTCTCGGATTGATAGATTTAGCGATACTCTGTCAGTTATTCAACTGACGTCTACAAAAATGGAGACAATAGTTCAATTTTATGTAAAGGACAGAGTATATTGAATGGAAGTTTCCAGAAGTTTCTAAAATTGCCAGTTTAGGAGCTACTATCCATATGAGACGAAACAGGGTTGACATTTGCAAAGATTTAATACTTTCATGAGGTTTCGTAATAAGCAACGGCACTGGGTCTCGATGTAATTTTTTGTAATTCAAGCTTTTAACCAACAGGTAGCTTACATTGTTAGATAGCATACTTTAAGCTTGGCATATTTAATTGATATGGTTTTAATTTTTTTATGTCACCGATTGCTCTAATTACGTGACGCGCTTCAGTTTGTAGCTTAACAATCTGGGTTGGACATCTTCCTACGAAAACAACACCTGATCAACTGAAAGAAGCTTTTGCAGAATTTGGAGAAGTTGAATCGATTGATGTGAGTGTCTTTGAAGCTCGGTGTTTCCTTTGTCAAGTGAAAAGAGGGTTGTCTTCTGATAATTTATGTTGTGTCCAATGTTGCTGTGATTTATGCTTTTGTTTGATATTTACAAAGTTAAGTAAAATTATTGAAATTGCTAATTAAATGAATTTATAAATCATGAAGCTACAAAACCAGCTAGTTGTATCACAATGTGGTATGACAACAAGATGATTTTTGTAAGCTCTCCTTCGTATAAGCCGATCCCCCCTTCAAGCTCCCTGAATAAATAAGCCTTCAAGTGTTTAGCCTTCAAAGACCGAAATAGCAACCTAATAATAACCTGGAGAAATGCTGCTAAGATTTTCCATCCCTTGGCGGCTCTGTTACTCTTCTATTCATTTCATATGCTCAGACTTTGAATGGAGGGAGAGGGCGATATCTAGTAGTAGAACTGCATGCTAGGTTGTTTCTTCAACGGCCAGTCAATCTAACCTATGAAAAAGTGCATCCACTAACAACACACTCATCTAATAACCTTGTTTTATTTTAATATTGTTTGATCGCATGGCTCATCGGAATGTATTTACGTTTAGCTTGTCCAAGCTCGTGGCTGTGCATTCGTTGTTATGAAGCAGAGAAGAGAGGCTGATGCAGCCCTGAAGAATCTGAAAAATCAAAGGTTTTATGGACATACCATTAGGGTACGTTTAAAAGAGGGTGCATATACTGATTTCATTATGCATGTATGGACTTTTTTTGAGATCGAGAATTCTTAATGAGTATTCAATATTATCGACTCGCTTATCCCAGGTATGGAGACATTTTATCTTTCTGATACAATTATTTGAAGTGCCAAAATTTTCTGTACCATAGACTTGCAGGAATGCCAGTTGAACAGGTCTTTTGTTGTCGTTTTTTGCTCTAGCGATTCTCCATTGCAACAATAACTTTTTTGGAAAAATTAAAAAATCGGGGTCACAAAGTGAGATTATGCTTGATTTTTATATCGCTTGATATTGACACAGGATTAAGTGGGCACTCTCTAACTAGCTCTGATTAAATCGTGTTGTGCTTGACTATGATGATGAGAAGGACATTTCCATTTGTGGCAAGAATTGCTTGACGATGAAAAGTTCCTTACCCAACTATCCAAATCTCAATATTTCTTACTCTGTTAACCGAACAAAGTTTAAATTTAATTTATAAATCTACACATATATTCAAAAAACAAACAATAACATTTGGTCTAGAGATTTGTTTTTACGTGCTTGATGTAACATGGTTTCAACAATAGGTGGCCTGGGCACCAGGAAAAGCCATCAAGAATTCGGAACTTAAGCAGTTCTGGGATGACGACAAAGGAGTGACGTATGTTCCTTGGGATCGCATTAAAGGCAAGAATGTAAGGGAATTCGCTGCTGGCAGTGTTATCGACCCCGACAGTCTTCCACCGGGCATGGTTCTTGAAGGTAAATACTCTTAATTAAAGCAGCTTAAAGCTATTGTCATGGGGGCATCCTTAAAGTCGAGATGTCGATAGGATTAGTAAAAATTTTGTCTGAGACTCTTTTCTAATCACGCTCATTGTGAGAAAATAGCAACAATTTGCCATTCAGAGTTTGCGATATTTTGACTGGACGTTCGCTGTATACATTGATGAACATTCCCATTCCAGATGCCAGTGGAAATAAGCGTCATTTCTTAATGCTAACTGACATATTTATTCTTTTGTGTAAATATCTTATGTGATGTTCTGGTGAATATCGGACTTTGGTTCATTCATTCATTTTCCTCTGTTAGATGAGCCACCAAAAAGTGAAGCTGGAGCGCCGCAGAATCAGTTACCACCACAAGCAATGTTAGCACCCCCTCCTGTTCCTGGTATGCCCTTGCCCCCAGGTTTGTTACCCTTCCCCCATGGATTTCCGCCTATGCCTGGCCTTCCACCACCTGGCATGATGCCCCCTTTTGGTATGGGTATGCCACCTCCGGGGGTCCCCCCTGGATTTACCCCAAGGTTACCAGAAAACGTCAATCGTCCACCTAATTTCGACCAAGGTTTACGTCCTGATGGCTCTTTGGCAAAAGATATACCTTCAGATGGCTTAAAGGAAGGACCTAGGTCAGTTGTAGGAGAGCCTACCAACCATTTTACAAGACCAAGAGGACCCCATCCAGATTTAGATGGTCCTAAACCAGGCTTTGATGGCCCAGGACGTGATTTTGATGGGCCAAGACCAGGCTTTAGGGGACCTCCGCCAGGTTTTGATGGGCCACGACCCGAATTTGATGGCCCACATCTTGGATTTGATGGACCACGCCCTGGGTTTGATGGACCACACCCTGTATTTGACGGAGCTCGTCCAGGATTTGATGTCCTTAGACCGGGATTTGAAGGTCCCCGTCATAGATTTGATGGGCCTCGCCCGCGCTTTGAAGGACATAGGCCTGGTTTTGAAGGACCACCGCCTTGGGTGCAGCAAAGACCCAGATTCGCAGCAGAACAGCATGCTTTAAAACTGGACTCACGTCCAGATGACAGAAGAGAGGAAGGCTCATCTGACCAGGAGAAAGACCCGAAGTCACTTTCTTGGCGTAATAACCAGGGTAACACTGAAAAAGATGAAGGTGCTGTTAAACAAATAGGGGCAAGAGAGGGAGGAGAAAGAGAGAGGGGAGAGCCCAACGAAAGAAGAGGAGCCAGTATATCTGAAGATAGGGTCGAAGACAAAGAAGACAGAGATCATGAAAGGGACCGAGGAAGAAATTGGGACAGAGACAGAGCAAGGGGTCGCTTTGATCGCGGAGGAAGAGGTATGTTAAGTGAATGTTGCTAAGTTGCCATGCTATGAGATATCATATTTTTGTTTTGATTTCTGCGTGCATATAGTTTATGTTACTGGATGCGCTTTATTTCAGTAATGCACATTCAATGTAAAATATGCTATTAAACACAAACGTAGTAAAAACACAGCTATAAAGCTTTTAGTTCCTGCCTCTCATTTTTATCATAGAGTTAATTTTCCCTCTGATACAGTTTCTTGAACATTTTTTAGCAATGTCCATAATTTTTTCTTTCCAAAGGACTGATGCTTTGAAACTGCTTGGAAGCATTGAAAAAACTTGAAAATATTAGGAATTGTTGTTGCTTTATTCAGATTAATTTTTAAGCATTTTGATTTGAAGGTGACAGAGGACCTGAACGTGATAGAGACCGAGATAGGGACAGGGATCGTGGTCGATTTGGTGGTCGAGACAGAGATCGGGATTTTGGCAGAAATAAAGACAGGGATAGCCGCGATCGGTGGCGAGGCCGTGATGGTGACAGAGAGGCGAGGTCATCTGATCGAGGCCGTGATCGGTATAGGGGACGGAGAGATAGAAGTCGAGAACGAAATCAAAGCAGAGACAGAGACCACAGCCGCGAACGGGGCCGTAGTCGTGACAGAAGTCGAGATCGAGACCACAGCCGCGACCGAAGCCGAGATAGAGGCCGGAGCCAAGACCGCAGTCGTGATCGAGACCGTAGTCGAGGTCAAAGTCGGGATCGTGATCGTAGTCGAGATGGTGGGCGTGATCGTAGTAGGGAGCGAGCTGAAAGTCGTGACAAAAATCGTGAAGGCAAAGATCAAGAGTCGAACAGAGATCGTGATTTAGAGCGGCAAAAAAGATCGCGTGATTCCGAGAAAGAAAATGATAAAGAGTTAGAAGAGCGAGACACGGATCTGAGCTCAAAAGATAAAGGCGACGCGAGTCAGCAGGCAAAAGTAAAAAGCAAGGAGAATGAAGGCGAGGCAAATGTAGTGTTGAAGGACGAAGGGGAACCAGAAATTAAACGGAAAAGAACAGAACAAGGCAGTAATGACTCAAAAAATGTTGAACAAACTATAAATTCCGAAGAAAAACCTTCTGAGAAAGACCAGGTTGATGAGGATTCGGAAAGCGAGCAAAAGGGAGGGTGGAAAACGTTAGGCACGTCAAAGGCCGAGGACAGTGTGCCAGATACTGAAAACAACACAAAGCCACTGTTAGGGCAAGGCTTTGGGCTGGCAGGCACGTCAGCAAAGTTGGTTTCTTTAAAAACTGGGACAAATTTGGCCGCAAAACCTTCGCTGTTTAAAGAAGAGAACAAACCAGAGAAAAAACTCGATATGTTTTCTGCCGATGAGGATCTGGAAGAAAGAAAAGTTGAAGAAAAGAAAGAAGATTTCAGCAAAAATGTATGTTACTGCTTTGTCTTTACGGAAAGCTTAATTAGGGATAATGTTTGAGGCTTCTCTTTCAACTTAGCTTCCTATAAACACTTGAGTGATTAAAGATAACCTCAAAAGCAAGCACATTTTGGAAATGATACTCATCAAAACATAAAATCAAGTAGGTGTCTAATTGAATTTATGAGAGGGGAATTTTCGGTAATTATTTTCTGCTAATTCATGACATCATTTGTGTGTAAACAGGGCGGTAAAACTGCCTTCACGAATAGGCCTATTCATTTTCGTTTTACGCTCTTGGGCAGAAAAGATGTAAGTCAGTAATGGATCTTTATTTCTTGTGCTAACATTTTTTGTGTTGTAACTTCACTTGTTGTCATTTGCTTGTACCACTTCTAAAACCATTGATTTTTATGGATATTTGTCGCTGGAAATTGTTTTGTTTATCTATAGAACGAGCTCAGAACCTTCTAAGTTAGCTTTTTATCAACTTTTTGATTGTAGGACGCTATCGAAAAGATCCATGTAGATGAAAAGAAAATCATCGAATCGGAAACACGAAAGGAAAAAGTTGATGGTCTCTCTGAAGAAATAACAGCAGAAACTAGTATTCCAAATAAAGAGGAAAGACCTGAGAACCCTGATGTTGAAAATGACTTGAAAAATGGGACAGTTGACAATGAGAGCGACAATGCTCAAGACAATGGTATTAAGCGAACTGAGACGATGCTTGATGAAAGTGCAAATATGCAATCTAATTCAGCAGAAAGCTCGTAGGGTAGTGTGTATTAGTTAATCTCATAAAGGCCTCTCGGTTCACGGCCAGTTGAATCTTCACTGGCCTTTAAAAGGATGCAAGCCCTATTTGCTTCGTCGATACACACATTTGGCAGTTCAAATATTGGGTTAACTTTCAAACCCATTTTTACACAATTCTGCTTTAGTAGATGTCTTGAATAAAGGTTGTATAGAAGTTCGTATACGACTGGGTGTTGTTTAATCAGTTAGTGATTATAAGAACAACCTTGCATTTTCGAATGTGGTCTAAAAGGAGCCGAAAATTGTATTTTTTAACGCCAGCAATAATGTTATTTGTGCATGGAGACAAACGAAGCATAAATTGTCTGCTGAGTGCTCCTTATAGTGACCCCAAACTGTCCTACTACAGTGTCCACGACCCCATCCTGTAGTCTTTAGAGTATTACAGTCGGCTCTGTCTAATTCGAACGTTTACTAATTCGAACAAATTTTTCAGATCAGATCCTTTGAAAATCTCCCAATAAACCTTTGCAAAACCTGTGTAATTGGAACTTTTCGTAATTGGATCAATTTTGTTGGTCCCCTCAGGAAAACAAACCATTCTAGTTAGAACTTTATGCCAATTGTACAGCAATAATAAAGAAACTGGTGATATATGTACAGCAATTCATTAAATTCCCTTAGAATGGACATTTTCTAATTACTGGCGGTTTTTTAAGTCATTTCTTTCAATATTGGGAAGACGAAACGATTAAATTTTTGCCTGGCCGGCCGAGCTCAGGAAAACTAACGACATTGCCTATTTTTATGCTTCGTTTTTATTACAAGACGAGATGAGTTTACAAAACGTTGTTTCTATTTATAACTGCTCTGTAAGTTTCGATTAAATATTGAAAGGATAACTGAGGTTAAATCCAGGATTTTGAGAAACTCGTATAAATCGAACCTTTTGTAATTTGAACATTTGACGACCCCCTTGACTGTTCGAATTACACAGAGTTGACTGTATACAACTCTAGAACAAACATATAAATCAGAGTTACATGAAGTATTACAACCTTCTTATCATCTTATCAATACGATATTATCATCATACTACGAATGATGGTATCACTTTGAACGATAATATTTGTTGTCAATATTGCACATCTTCTTTACGTATCTGAGGAACACGAAACATTTTCTAGATCGAGAATGGAGCCAAGACTTTGTTGCCAATGCTTATGAATTGGTAAACAGAGGGTGTCATATTTTGATTATAATTTCACTACGAAGATTTTGGCAAGAAGTGTTGCAATGATGACGAAAGACAAACATTTCACTCGCTGTATTAATCCTGTTGTTTTTGGTGAATGGGGTAGATTGTAAGCATTTTTCTCATTTTTGATAGGCTTTCATCATCTTAAACGATAATTTGAATTTAATGGAGATGTACTTGACACTTCAAATAATAGATATTGATAAAATATTGCTTTGCAGTGTCTTTGCAGCAAGTCTATTTATCTGTCTCCATTGCCCCTTCATCTCAAATTAACAACTCATTAATTTTTGCATTATTAATTTATCTGTGATAGTTTGTTTCTATATAAGACAAAACGGGCATCTTTTAGCAAGGCAAACCTCGGACAATATGGACTGAATATCCAGAGTTGTAGATATTCCGGTGCCAGGCTTCCAGTCTAGGACGGATCTGTAGTTGCGAGCTTGGCTTCTGCTAATACAGATTACATTTTTTAGAAGATTACAGGTTAACTAGAAATATCGTTTGACTGGAGATACTCTTAGCTTTTATGGTCAAGGACTCTGCAAACACCACCTCAATTCTGAGGAAATTGCTTTCTAGAAACTTGCATGGTGTATATTCTTTTAACGGTAAGGGGGAATGGTCGAATTTCATCTGGCATTGGGAAAGGGTTTCACTGGCAATTGAGTGATAGAAGCATGGAGGGTAACATTGGAATATACCCTCAACCCAAGCCTAGATTTTTGTTTTGAGAAGGAAACTGACATTTCTTTCAACTTGAACTGTTAAAGCAGCGTTTAAGCTTATTTTAAACTTTGTTGTGATGAAACGCATATCTATATGGGATACACTAAGAAATGCCTCCAGTGGAAACCAAACACCTTTTTGCAAAAAAATCAAGAACATTGATTTGTGCTTTTAAAGAACGTAACATGACACAAGAGATAAGTAATATAATATTGTTGAAAATAAGTAATATTTTAAAGCTTTTTACATCGGTCTATCTCTTCTTTGGTCTTGCAATGACATTTTCCAGCGTTTTGTCGTCTCTTCAGGGACACCAACTGGGCATGCGCCCCTTTTGCCTTTTAATTGGAACTACAAGCGGACCAAGGCGGACATTTAGGGCACGTCCCTTCTTGTTAATCTTTATTTTTTTAGAAAAATGGACAAATACCGATACTAAATTCGATTCTTGTTTATTTTGATCATTTACAACATATTCCAAAGCCTATATATAGCCTTATCCTTTATAAAAAAAACCAACCCCTGTTTTAGAGAAAATGACATCTTCACCGAAACTGAAATCTATTCTTGTAAAAATTTGGTCATTTTTCAAAGCTTACAGTTACGAATGTATATCAAAAATGGACCCTTCTAGATAATTGTTTTGCTATTGATAAGAAAAGAAAATCTACACGTATACTCAATTTATTTCTGTTTATCTTAAATCATTTACAAGCAAAAAGATTGTTTTCAGAGCAAAAAATTCTTGAAAATTTTTTTGCATATTCCAAAGCCTTTAGCCTTACCTTTTATAAAGAAAACCAACACTTTTTTAAAAAAAAGACATTTACCGACAATAAAGTTATTTCCTTTTTATATTTTTAATTATTTACAAGCAACCTGGATTGTTTTAGGAAGAAAAGTTTTTAAAAAAATCTAGCCATTTTCAAGGCCTATATGTATAGCCTTATCTTTTATGAAAAAAACTTACCCTTTTATATAATTTTTTTGAGAAAAAATGACATCTTTACCGACACTGAATTCTATTCTTTTTATTATGATCGTTTGCAAGAAAATTGGATTGTTTTAAAAAGAAAAAAGTTGTTGAAAAATTTGGTGATTTTTCAAAGCCTATAGCCATACTTTACATAAAAAAGCGATCCTTCTAGAAAAGCTTTTTGTTCTTGAGGAAAATGACATTCATACTAATAATAAATTGAAGTGCTGTTTATTCTGATAATCCACAAACAAACAAATCTTTTTTAGCCTATAGCCTTTCTTTTCTAATCGAAAAATCGAACTATTCAAAAATATGCTTTTTTAATGGATTACATCCCCATCAAAATCAATTTCAATTCTTGTTTATTCTGATAACAGAGAGGCAAATTAATCTGTTCTAAGAAAAAAATTTTTTGAAAAAACATCGCAATTTTTTCAAAGCCTATAGCCTTATTATTTTTCAAAAATCAACTCTACTAGATAATCGATATATTTTTTTAGAAGAAAAGACATCAATACCGATACTAATTTCAATTTTTGTTTATTTTAATCATGTATGTACAAGCAAAAGAGACTCTTTTAAGAATATTTTATTCTCGAAGAAACGTGATGGCTTTTCCAAGCAGATAGCCTTACTTTTTTAATTAAATATCAAATCTTTTAACTAAAAAATCGGAACTTCGAAAATCATTGGAAAAACAACTTTTTTCCGAAATTAATTGCAAATCCCACGTTTCATTGAAAAAAATTTTTCTTTAGAAAAAACTTGAAGAGCTTAAAGTTAATAACAAAAATAATAATAAAAATAATAACAACAATAACGGATGTTAACAGATCCACAAAACATGGCTTATCTCTGTTAAATAATAAGTAAAATATTGTCCTTAGTTTAAGAAATAATGTCCTGAAAAGATGTTTAAAAAGTGTCTAATACGTTAAAATAAAGGGGGAAAACAATTTCCTAAACTTACATTCCATATGGGTGAATTTTTATCCCTAATTTTTCTAAAACGATCCTAGTTAGGTTGCTAAAATTCTAACGACTCGGACCTGCAAATTGTTGATTTTTTACAAAATTTTGTTTTATCCAAACAACCTAAATGTCTTAAATTATGTTAGAGACACCATTAGAGGCAGTTTAAATTTCCGACCTTTTATACAAAGATCTTGTGACCCTGGAGTTGCAAAAAAATTATGAAATTGTCAAGCTTCATGACGAACTCTTCCCTTAAAAAGCCTGAAACGCTAAAATTCCGTTTCGAATACTTCCTGACAGAAAAGCAAATATCTTTATTGATTAAACAAGTTTGAGCAGAAATGCGAGCTTGTTTTTATTTACATAGATGAAAAATGTTAATTTTGATAAAATGGACGTGTATTTTAGCCAGGTTTGCACAAATGATTTTAAAAACATTTGTTCAAAATCTGAAGCTCTGCTCATTAATGTATGAATAGTAAATTGAGTATTAGCAAAGCAAAAAGCTCACTAATTTAAAAAAGATTTCTTGTAAAAACAGTCTTTCGTCTCCCGAAAAAGATTGTGAAACGTGTGTATCTTAGTCAAAGATGACTGATTTTACCCTAAACACACTTCTTTTTACATAAAGAAACCAAGTAGTTTTTGCGGAAACTACATGTTCTAATTGTTTTGAAAATTTGAGGGTGGGATGTTATTAATGTCGCTTTTATTTCAACATTGATTTTTAATTATTCATATACAAATTGCTTGTACATAATATATTTACAAACTACATGCTGACTAGCTGATAAAATCTCCTCTGATATTATAACACGAGATATAATTTTTAAAAACATTTCGTTCTTTCTTCTAACTGTTTATTTGCTGATTCTGCGCTGCTCTTAGTTGTTCAGGAAATCTTCAGATGTTCTTATAAAGCAAGTTCTTATAAAGCAAGTTCTTATAAAGCAAGTTCTTATAAAGCAAGTTCTTATAAAGCAAGTTCTTATAAAGCAAGTTCTTATAAAGCAAGTTCTTATAAAGCAAGTTCTTAAAAAATTTTTAAAGAAAGGATACTTAATAGTATATGGCATAATAAAAAATATTTTGAACCCACCTTCATCGATTTATCAACACTGAACCGAATACAAGGTTTTTAACAGCGCGTTAATTAAATATTAAATTAAATAAATGAATGAGAACAGTAATTCATATTTGCTAATGAAACAAGTTTCTATTCTTTATACAAAATTAAGCAGTTAAAAAAGAGAAGACTTAAATTTTCCAAAGCTTTGAGCTCTTCAGTAATGCATTGAAATCTTGAATGCTCCTGTGGTGGAAAGTTCTGCAATGGCTTGATGAAGTTGATATTTGAACATGAAAATTACTCGCTTGCCTTGTATAATGGCTGTGAATATCTCTATTATAATAAAAATGTTCAGGTCAGTAAAAAGGAGCCATTCCATTTAAGCATTTGTACATCATAGAGAGACGATGAAAATGTCTCATCTGGTCAGTTTTATCCAATCTTAATCTTCTACTTGGAATAATAACATCAACATAGGAATGTTTTTACTTTGTAAAAAGTAGCTCCCTCAGAAATCATTGCCACATCCCTCATAAAATCAGGCATTGAGACTACATTCCCTCATCACAGGGAGCAACGTTGGGCTGTTGGTGCATCGGCACAAGTTGCTCCACCTAACCAAAATAAAAACCATAAACCTTAGATAAAGCTTGATTAACTCTAGTGCAAGCAGTTTTATATTCTGGGCAGGGAATGGACAAGAAAAGATCACTTTTCCCCACCAGTGAGCCGACGCACCAGTCCTACCTTAGATTCCTAAGGTATGAGAGGGAAAGAAAAAATATGACAGGATAAAAAGCCGGACCCATCCTAAACTAAAAAACAACAGAACCTTTTAAAGAATACTATGATGTAGGTAAGCTCTAATTCCTAAGAGAACAAAAGATTCTAAAAAAGGGGGAGGGCACGGGAAAAGAGAAGGGCGCTGAAAAGTCTACCAACAATCAGGGGCGAAAATACCGGGTGGGTGTGGGGGGGGGGGTGTGACACCCCCCAATCTTAAAAACAGTCGATTTCGCAGGGCAATCGAAGATTTCGCAGGGCGCCAAGAAGAGCTTTGTTCCCACGCAGATATGTCACCTCTGAAGTTCGTAAAGGGCCGTTTAGGAATTTTTAAATGGAAATATCATATTTGTTATGAACCTACCTTCCTGATATTGCATTTTAGAGAACGGAACAGGGATGTAAGGAAAAGCTCCGTTATTTGCAAAGCGAAATCATGTCTTACCGAAAGTCAAAGCCAATGGATGCAATGATTGATGCATATGTTTATGAGGGCAAGGTTGAGTCCATATAAATTAAGTTAAGTTGTAAATTATTTTCATGACAGGCACGGCGTCACTGGGGGTAATAGGGGGCTGAAGGCCCTCACTTTGGTCAAGATAAGAATTTTTTATCATTTTTTCTATTAATTTTTAACAGTGCATGAAATAAAAAGAGAGTAAACTGTTAAGATGCCGATTTTGTTTGATCTAA